TAACTGACCTCTCAGATTCCACGGCACAATCACTAGTAAATTCATCATTTATTCCAGATCTGCAGAAACTATGAATACAGTCTTTTAAGTTTTTGTTTTGTTTTGGGGAGTTTTGTTGTTTTTTTGAGACAGGGTTTCTCAGCACAGTTCTAGATGTTCTTTGCAGACTAGGCTGGCCTCGAGCTCAGAGATCTGCCTGCCCCTGCCTCCTGAGTGCTGAGATTAAAGGCATGCACCACCACTGCCTGGCTCACTTGCTGTTCTTGCAGAGGACCTGAGATTGGTTTCCAGCACCCACATTAGGTGGCTCACAAACTGCCTTGCTACTCCAGCTCCGGAGAGCTGCTATCTTCTTCTGGCCTCTGTAGGCACCTGCACTTAAGTGCACATACTGACAAAAAGAAACACATACGTATACAAATAATTAAAAATCAAAAGTATGTGCTACTCTTCCTGAGGACCTAGGTTCAGTTTCCTGCCCCCACATGATGGCTCACAACTATCTATAAGTCCAGTTTCAGGGGAGCCAGTGCTCTCTCTTCTGGCCTCTGCGGGCACTGAACATAGTGGTGCACAGACATACATTCAGGCAAATCACTCGCATATATAAAACAAAAATAAATATTTTTTGAAAAAAGAATTAAGTTTTGGGCTAGTGTGATGGGTCAGTGGGTGAAGACACTTCACCAAGTCTGACAACCTGAGTTTGATCCATGGGACCTATATGATGGGAGAGAACCAACTTTCAAAAGCTGACCTCTGACCTTAACACACATGCTGAGTCATGAGTCTTTGCAAGCACACACATGCAGAGACACAACATAAATAAATGTAATAATAATAAGCCTTAAGAAGTCCTAAATAAGTGGGTACTCAAAACTATGTTATAAATCCGAGCATAACAAACTTCTGGGCTGGTAGGAATGTTACAGAAAGACTTTCCATGTCCCCATGAGTCTTTGGTGCAGTGGTTAGCGTAGCTGCCTTCCATGTCCCCATGAACCTTTGGTGCAGTGGTTAGTGTAGCTGCCTTCCATGTTCCCATGAGCCTTTGGTGCAGTGGTTAGTGTAGCTGCCTTCCATGTTTCTGATCTGAATGACAATGCCTTCCAAATTGCTCTTTAGATGTAAAATACAAGAATGGCCAAGACAAGACACTCTTGAAAGACATGGCAAGAGGACTTTCTCTGACAGATACCATCTTATTTAAAGCTAGAGTTGAGTATGTTTTTTGAGTTCACACACAATTCTGGTACTTGGTAGACTGAGCAGAAGGACTGTAAGTTCAAGGACAACCTAGGACAGGGAAAAGGGTAGAGAGAGGAAAATGGAGAGACTCAATCTAAAAAACCATAAAGCGTATGGTTCTGTTATAGGGATAAACAGAACTACAGAAGAGAACAGAATAAGGGTGTGTGTGGCCTGATCTACAGAGTGAGTTCCAGGACAGCCACGGCTACACAGAGAAACCCCTATTGTGAAGCATACCCCCAATCCCACTTAAAACGTGAATTTCTTTCTTTTTTTTTTTTTTTTTTAGTTTTTTTTTCTTTTTTTTGGTTTTTCGAGACAGGGTTTTTCTGTGCAGCCTTGGCTGTCCTGGAACTCACTCTGTAGACCAGGCTGGCCTCGAACTCAGAAATCCACCTGCCTCTGCCTCCCAAGTGCTGGGATTAAAGGCAAAACATGAATTTCTAAAAACCAATTATTTCTATGGCTATAAAGAATACAAACTCAGTTTGTCTGGCAAGAAGCTACTACTGGAAGAGGAGGCTTCTAAACACTGGGTGACTGCAGGTGTACCACAAAGATATACCCCAAGCCTCCTGTATCGCCACAGCTTATTTCTTCTCACCTGAATAAAGTGGCCTGGCAGAATGTATAAACCAACAGTTAAAACTTCCACTGAGACCCTACAGCTGAGATACAGTCTCCTGGGACTGAGTTATTATAACTAAATACTAGGCACATGTTCGTAAGACTCCAGTTAATTAATGACTACTCAGAAAATTATTATAAGAACAAAGTCACCCCTAGGCCTTCTGCGTTATATACTAGTTGTTTAAGTTCGCCGTCGTCTTGGACTCCTAAGAGCAGGAACAGGGCCTGCTCCTGACTCTTTCGTCAGCTTTTGGACCCTTTTCCTCATATTGGGTTGCCTTGCCCAGCCTTTATGAGGGAAGGTGCCTAGTCTTGCTGCAGTTTGATATGTTATGTTTGGTTGATATCCATGGGAGGCCTGCCCTTTTCTGAAGAGAAACAGAGAAGAAAAGGGTGGGAGTGGGGGACAGAGGAGGCTGGGGGGGGGGGCTGGGGGGAGAGGGGGGGGGGGGGAACTGCAGTCAAGATGTAAAGAATAGTGATAAATTAAAAATTAAAGAAGAGCGCAGTCACTTGTGAAACATTAGAGAGCATGCTCAGTAGACGCCAAAGGCAACACAATGTGCATTTTCATATACCTAGCAATTTCGCTACAAATATAATTCCATCAGTTGGCTATGTGTATTGACTAATAGAATAGTTAATCTTAGTCAAGACTGAAAAATACATGCTTGTTTCTGCCTCCTGAGTGTTGGGATTAAAAGCAAGTACCAGCAACCCTGGTTTATTACTGAGCACTAATGAAGCATATGGGAATGCTTCATTCACGAGAAACTTCTACCATGTCATACGCTGCATTCTGGAGAACAGATCCCCAGCAAGGCTCAACAAGCCACCCAGCTGACTGGAAGGAGGCCTACAGGGATCTGTTTACCACCATCATGACGGTAACACATGATGTTAACACATGCAAAGGCTGGTGCAGAGTCTACCACACTCTTGGGAACTCCCCTGTGAAGGTTCTCAACAGTCTGTTCCCTGGAGAACCAAGAGGCACGCTGAAGGGTTTCTTTGCTTACGTCATCTCAGTAATAACCTATGATGTTGCTCACATACTCAGCACTCAAGGGTGAGGCTGGATCCAGACCAAAGCCTTACTGAACTACTGTCAGCAGCTCCCTCCCCACACCAAGAGGCTTGTGGGAACAGCCCACAGCATAGCTCCTAGGAAACTGGTTCTGTCCATGTAGTTACCAGATGACCCACCAACGTTCATTCCCTAAGAAAAATGAATGTATACAAACGGGTACCCAGTTGTTCACACCAGCACTATTTACACCAGCACTATTCACACCAGCAGCCTGAAGCAGAACATCCCCAAAGGCCTCGCTGAAGAGAGGAGAAGCCACATGAGTACAGTGTGTGCTACCTAGTGCTGTACATACAATGAAGTGCCAGTCCACATCACATGAGTGAGCTGTGGAGACGGGCTGGGGAGATGAAGTAGACACAATGGACAAAGGGGTAAAGGGTTTCATTTATACAGAGTATCCAGAAGACAGAAACACAAAGAGAAAGAAAATGTAGCAAATGAGGGATTTCCAAGGGCCAGGGAGGAGGAGGGGGAAGAGGAGTTGGAGGAGGAGGGGGAGGAGGAGGAGTAATTTGTTTCCTTTTGGGGGAAAGGAAAAGGTCTCAGAATTGGATAGGAAGGGGTGAGTTCATAGCTACCCTCTCCCCAGTCCCAGGAAGCTGTACCTGGCCCGGGGGCTTCCAATTTCTTTCTTTGTTGTTCCTTGTGGAAAACCATTGGCTGTGACATCCAAAGGCTGCTGGGGAACAGCACTCCAGCTGATAGCTATGAAGAGAGGAATTCTGGGGTTAAAACATTCTCTACCCATAAATCAGTGCTGCCCTCAATCTCAGCCAGAGTTTTCTCTGCAGTGGGCAGCAGGTAATACAGATTCAGAACTGTCTATGTGCTGAGAGTTAGTATCTTCTGAGTGCTCAGCCTTGAATGGGTCAACTTCATCAATCCCCACTCCCAAGGCTCAAGCACACAGAAGAGGAAGAATGACAGAGCTGGAGGGTGGGGGAGATGCTGGGAAATGCTCTCTGGACATTTTATGGCTGCTGCACAGAGTAGCTATGGTTACCTGCAAAAGATCCAGCCAACATGAGTCAGCATGTCACCAGACAGCACTAACTGGAGTCAGGGGGCTACAAAAAGTCCAAGTAAATGCCAAACCAAAACAAACCAATTAAACCAGTTATCAAATATTCCACAAAAATATTTCTGTGACTTTACAGTGGCATGAAAATTAGCTATGACATCAAAATCAAGTTGGGTGTGATGACTGGCTCTTTGGGGTTCAGAGACATCAAATGGTTCACAATTATAGCTTACAATTTAATTTCTTATTATGTTTATTTACTGGGGGAACGGGCATATGTATGTCATGGTGCAGATGTGAAGGTCAGAGGTCAAGCTAAGGGGAGGTGGGTTCTTTGCTGCCACCATGGATTCCAGGATCAGTGTGGAGTTATCAGGTTTGCTGGAAAGTGTGCCCTTACCTATTCAACCAACCATCTCACTGGTTCCTAGCTTGCAATTTCATTGAAAATTTATTATATGCTAGGTACAGAATTATAATACACACACACACACACACACACACACTCACATATATATTTTTAAATTCTCACAGTAGCTATGATGAGTAATATTTTTCTAATCTGAAAATAAAGAAGGCCAAGACAGGGTAAGTGACCTGGTCAGGATCTCCCAGGACACCTTCCAAGGAACACATTCGAGTTCCCACTGTCCTCCTAGGCTTGCATGATGCTGACCTGCCTAGGGCGGTCTGTGATGCTCCAGGGTAAGTCAACCTGGATCCCTTACCTGCCCCACAAGGGACGAGTCGGCCTGGACTGTCACCTCTTTTCCTGTGGACTGCACAGCGGCTCTGTTCAAATAGTAAACCCGACTGCTGTATTTTCAGTTCTTGAACGCCAAAACCTCTGGGTAAAACCAAGGTTTCCTGACACCTTAGTATAAGGGAAAATGCATTCAGTTTAGATGTACCTAGAGAAAAAGACTCTCAGATAGTAGCTCACTGTCCCCAAGCCTTAGTCAAAGGCCCTAGTAGCTGAGTGAATTTGTTTACTTATTGAAGTGGGACAAGTGAAACATGCTAGATTTTGCACAGCAAGAACTTTTAAAATAAGTCAGGCGGTGGTGGCATACACATTTAATCTCAGGATTCAGGAGGGAGAGGCAGGTGGATCTTTGTGAGTTGGAGTCCAGCTTGGTCCCCAGAGCAAATTCCAGGACAGCCAGGGCTACACAGAGCCTGGTTTCAAAAAAAACCAAACCTAAAAATCAATAATAACAAAAAAGAAACTTTTAAATCTTATTATTTATTTATTTGAGATAGGTTCCCATGTCGCCTAGGATGGTCATGAACCTGAATTACGGCAGAGGATGACCTTGAAATTCTGATCCTCCTGCCTCTGCCTCCGGAGCGCTAGGATTACTGGCGTGCACTATAGCCTACCCTGTTTTATGAGGTACTCATACAGGATGTAAGGATCAACCAGAGAGCCTTACTTATGCCTGCCAGTAAGCAGCTTACCAACTGAGCAGTGTGCCCCCATCCCCAGCAAGAATTTTTTTTTTGTTTTTTGTTTTTTTTCGAGACAGGGTTTCTCTGTGTAGCCCTGGCTATCCTGGAACTCACTGTGTAGACCAGGCTAGCCTCGAACTCTCGAACTTGCCTGCCTCTGTCTCCCAAGTGCGCCACCACCGCCTGGTGCCCAGCAAGAATTAAAAAAGATCCCCTGTTGGTCTGAGGCATAGCTAAAAATGAAGTTAATGCCCATCATCAGGGGGATCAGAAATCTAAAACTTCATTCTCGTTTTGAGAAACTTATACTTTACCTTGTTTACACAGTCTTCCTAGGAAACCCTTCAAACAACCCAAACTAAAATGATCTTATATTGGAAAAGTTGTATTTTTTCCTCTTCTGAACAAGCCAGGCACTCACATGATGCAAATCCAGTGCACAGATGGTACTTCGAATCTCAGACACTTTATAACCATTAGCAGCCACCACCACACCCCGTGCCCTTCTCCAGCCCCCGTAACGACTTCCCTTTTGTGGTTATTTCACAGCAACCGAGTCAAACATGCATAGCTTACTTCACTTAGCTTGATATTTAATGGTTCACTCGAATGGATGGTATGTAGCATGTATCTGAACACTAGGCTTTATCAGAGACTGGATTTCACATAGCCAGGTGAGAACTTAATGTAACTTAATGTTTGGTACACCAGTCCTTTCTACCAGTGAACAGTATTTGCTTGTTTAAATGCACTACTTTGGTTTTTTTTTTTTTTTTTTTGCTTGATTGTTTTTTTAAAAGATTTATTTATTTATTTACTGATTTTATTTATATGAGTACACTGTTGCTCTCTTTAGACATAACAGAAGGCAGCATCGGATCCCATTACAGATGGTTGTGAGCCACCATGTGGTTGCTGGGAATTGAACTCAAGACCTCTGGAAGAGCAGTCAGTGCTCTTAACTACTGAGCCATCTCTCCAAGCCCTATTTGTCTACTTTTTAAGACAGGGCCAGCTGAGCAGTGGTGGTGCACACCTTTAATCCTAGCACTTGGGAGGCAGAGGCAGGTGGATTTCTGAGTTTGAAGCCAGCCTGGTCTACAGAGTGAGTTCTAAGACAGCCAGGGCTATACAGAGAAACCCTGTCTCTCTCTCTCTCTCTCTCTCTCTCTCTCTCTCTCTCTCTCTCT